GGTCGCCACAGAACTAGAATGTGCGGTGTGTGTATGTGCGTGCGATGTGTGTATGTAGCTTGACACACAGAAACATCTCTCACTTTAAGGTCGAGTGAAGGGCGGGGGGGCACCTGTAGCTGTCCAAAAAATCCATCGCTGGCCAAGTCTCCGTTTCTGACCCGACATTTCGATAAAACAAAATCGAAAAACGTTTTTTAACGTAACCAAACCGTTCTTCTCCTGAAAATTCTTTTTAACGCAGCTTTTTGACCAGCGGAGACAGTCGTCTATTAGTCACTCGCCGTCTTGAGCACACACACCCCTCTGCTGCTGTGCGTATTTTACGCTCGTTTTTTTCTCAGGACGACCCCGAGGCTACCCAAGGTTCTGAAGTGTGTCACCTCGACCGGGTGGTGCTGATGCAGACCTGGCTGTCCCTGGCGTCCGACAGGCCCGCAGACGCTTGCCTCAAGCAGTGCGGCTCCGTGGACGACCACTGCTCCCGGAAGCAACACCAATTGCAGTCGTCAACGGCGGGGAGGGAAAGAAGCGACGGCGGCGGCAGGGGACGAGGACGGGGAGGGGGTGGGACGGTAGCGCGAGGCGACGGGGCCGTGGAAGAAAGAGGTTCCAGGCAGGTGAGAGGGGAAGAAGAACGCACCCACCCATGGCTTCCAATGACATATCTAGGCTGGTTATTACCCGGCGTCTCGCTTCCTGGGACATCCTTCTCCGCCACAAGGGCGGACGAGACCATGTCTTGTTGTGCTCGGTGCAGCACCCAAATATCTCGACCGACCCCAACCGTTTCCTTGCCACAACCCTTGAGACCCTGACTCTGACGATGATCACGACGCTAGGACGTGGTTGTCGCCAAGAGCGTGTTCGCTGTTCGGCCGGAGTGCGGCTGGGTCATCAGCGGCGTGGAAGACTCCGGGTCCGGAAAGCGCACCGGCGGCGGCGGCGGCGGCGGCGGCGGCGCGGGCGGGAGAAGCAGCTCGGCGACGCTGCTCGAGGGGGCGGCGACGCGGCAGCTGCGACGGTGAGAGAAAGAAAACCGGCACAATCGAAGAGCGGCATCCATACAATTGCGCTTCAGGAAGCAACGCAAATTGGGTTGAGGGCAGGGGTTGAGGTGGGGGGGTGCACCGTCACGATGAAAGAGCGACGATCAAGACAAATTATCGCCACCGTCACCTGGTCTTCCTCGTTGTTGGTTGGAGCCGTACTTGAAGACGCGCATGAATGAAAAACAGAGGCATAACCCCGCCCGTGTAAGAGTGCGTGCCTTTGTTACCGCTCATCCCTTCGTCTTGCATGCCTGCGGCTCCTTCCAAAGACATTCGTCCATGTGCCGGTGTGTTTGGCGGATGTTGCTGTCGCTGCCGCCGCTTTTGGTCGCCCCCGTGTTGGTGGTGATGTTGTCTTCGCGAGGAAAGCGTCCTGATCTCCACGGTCACTTTTTCTGCTAAAATCTATATCCCGCATGGACCCGAAATGTTGAGAGACATGTACACCCGGACCCGGTAATCTTGCCTTCACGAGAACTCTTGAGTTTTTCCCAAACGACAGCACCGAGTGGTTTGTTCTAACCGAACGATATGAGTAAACACGCGGATGGACCCCCCCCCCCCCCCCCCC